TGAGGAACTGAATGCTACCACCAACCATGTGGGCTTGGAAGCAGATCCTTCCCCAGTCAAGATTTCAGATGAGACCCCAACCCTGGCTGATACTTGCATTGCAGCCTCGTGAGAAGCCCTAAAGCAAAGGGCTCAGTTAAACTATGCCCAGGTTCCTGACCCACAGAAACTGTGAGACTATAACTGTGTGTTGTTTTAAGCTTGTGAGTTTGTGGCAATTTGTCATATGGCATTAGAAAACCAATACTTAGGTGTGTTAGTTAGCTAGGGCTGCCCTAACAAAGTGCCGCAGACAAGGTGGCTTAAACAACAGAAATTTATTTTCTCAAATTCTGGAGGCTAGAAGTCTGAGATCAGGAAGTCGGCGGGGTTGGTTTTTTCTGAGGCCTCTCCCCTTGGCTTGTAGATGCCGTCTTCTCCTTGTGTCTCCCTTTGTGGTGTCAGTGTCCTAAACTCCTTCTCTTATAGAGACACCAGTTATATTGAATTAGGGCCCATCCTAATGACCTCATTTTAACTTAATTACCCATTTAAAGACCCTATCTCCAGATACAGTCCCATTCTGAGGTATAGGGGTTAGGAGTTCAACATGTGAATTTTACCGGGTCACAGTTCAGCCCATGGGAATAGGCTATATAAAATTCTGCAATTATGTTAATCTCTAGCTAAAACTGACCACTTATTGTGGATAAAGGTCTGTTTTGCTATCTTGTTTTTCTTTATTTTAACGTGATTATATATGTATCAGATGATAATATGTCTCACATGGTTTAGCATATGTATTTGCATATCCCTGTCTCCAAGACAAAATTATAGTTTCTGTAAGCATATGTTTTTCATATGCTTTACATATGACACTTTACAGTATTTAAGATGATATTAGATGAATTTTCAAAATATGGCTTAACCTTTTGTGTTTACTTGTATATTTCTAAATAAGAATATTCTAGAGGCCCCTTGTCTTAAGAATGAGGACCTGATGGAGCTGGCTTGGTGGCATAGTGATTAAGTTCATGGGCTCTGCTTTAGTGGCCCAGGGTTCGCAGGTTTGGATCCTGGGCATGGACACATGCACAGCTTATCAAGCCATGCTGTGGCAGGCGTCCCGCATATAAAGTAGAGGAAGATGAGCACGGATGTTAGCCCAGGGCCAATCTTCCTCAGCAAAAGGAGGATTGGCAACAGATGTTAGCTCAGGGCTAATCTTCCTCACCAAAAAAAATAGAGAGAGAGGAGAATGAGGACCTGTTAAAGAGATACGGGCTTTGAAGAATTTACATTTATTTGAAGTACTTGTAGTTTTATATGGTGGTAAGGCCAGAGAATGTGTGACTTTATATTTGGTAAACCAGATGTAATGGATACACTGTTAAATCCTATCCACTGTTGTCCTGATTCTTTAAACCACTGTTTCTCTTTGAGCTATTAAATAACACTATATATGTTCAAAATGTTTTCCTAAACTGCCAAAAAGATAAGTATTATATGAAACAGTTCTTTACAGAACATACCAGTGGTTCTCAAAGTGTGGTCTGCAGACCCAGGAGTCCCTGAAACCCTCTTAGGCGATCTACAAGGTCAAACTATTTTCATAATAAAACTAAAACATTGTCGGCCCTGTTTTGGTATGTGTTGACATTTGTACTTACGATGCAAAAGAAAGAGTGGATAAAATTGCTGGGGCTTTTGGGTGAATCAAGGCAGTGGCATTAAACTGTACTATTAGTCTTTGTATTTTTCAGCAACATGCACTGGTAGACCAACAAAAAAGCTCACTTGACTTAAGATTGTCCTTGATGAACCAATTATAATTATTACTGTTATTAAATCTTGGCCTCTGATCACACACATCTTTGCAACATTCTGCATGACTAAATGGGAAGAATGGTAAAGCGCCTCTATTCCATATCAAGGTATAATAGTTGTCTCAAGGAAAAGTACCTGTGTGGTTGTTTGAGTTAGAAGCTGAACCAGCTGCTTTTTCATGGAACACCATTTTTACTTGAAATAACAACTGATAAACTAGCTATGATTATTCAGACCCAAGTTTTCAACAGACTTTTTCTCAAAAATGAATAAAGTGAGCCTATCGCTTCAAGGAAAAAAACTGACAGCATTTATTGCCAATAACACAATTGAAGCTTTTGAACAATAATTAGAATTTTGGAAAACTTGAATCTATCCATGAGAACTTGAATGATTCCAAAATTTAAAGATTATTCTGATGAGATTAGTGGTGATATTAATAATTGTTATTTTTATGATAGTGTATAATGAAATGTGTCAACATTTGGAAGAACTATATAATATATTGAACCAATATTTTCCAAATGAGGGTGCATCATGTTCTAAGATTATGCCTCAGTAAGAGATTCAAAGTGTAAGAAAGGGCAATGGATTTTAATATAGCAGAGTAAAATTTGATTATATTGGACAATGTACAATGTTGAAAATAAATTTGACTTAAACATTAAAGTTCATAACTTCACTAATATGGTTCATAAAGTTCATTGATTAAATTTTGGATTTCACATGGCAACTAACCTTTAAGAAATTACCAATTGTTGAGGTTTGGTGTAATGTTAACGAATAATATCTAGTTATCTGAAAAGGCTATTATAATACTTCTTTTTCCAACTACACATCCTTGTGAGGTCAGCTTTTCTTCATACACTTCAACCAAAACAACATATTGTAACAGATTGAATATAGAAGCAAACCTGAGAATACAGCTGTCTTCTATTAAGCCAGACATCAAAGAGATTTGCAAAAATGTAAAATGGTGCCACTCTTCTTGCCTTTTTTTTTTTTTTGAAAATATAGTATTTTTCATGAAAAATACGTTACTGTGCTGGAGTTGGGAAACCAGCCTTTTGCTACCATCGTAGTAACGGTTGGTTCAGGCAGGAATCATCACCAAATGCTAAATCTAGAGGGAAATTCTTATGAAGAACAGGATGTTTTTGTGGCCTTAAAATGTCTCTCTGCCTATTTCTTCACTTACAAAGGAAAAATAAGGAAAAATAAAAAGTAATTATTTAGCAGAGCAATTCAACATCACCTTGATGTGGTGACCTGAGTTATCACCGCTTTGGAGGAGCGGTTGGACAATGTGTACCTCTAGATGGGATAGCCTGGGAAGGATAATGTTCTAGCTGAGAATGTGTAGCCTAAATCAAATCAGGAGCAAACACTTGACAAAACCAAAATGAAAAGCATTCTCTTTAAAATATGGACATAATAGTATTCTTAAAAAATGTCAGGTCATAAAAACTGTGGAACTATTGTAGATGAAAGGAATGTAAAGAGAAATGACAACTAAATGCCGTATCTGACCCAGGACTGGATCCTGCAGTAGAAGGAGAAAAATGCCATAAAGGGCATCATTGGGTTAAATTGACAAAATTGGAGTATGGATGGTAGCTTCAAGTAATGTATCAATATTAAATTTGCTGAAGATAACTATACCATGATTGTAAGAGAATATCACAATTCTTAGGTAATACATACTGAAATTTTAGGGGTAAAGGGCATTGATGTTTATAATTTACCTTCAAATGGTTCAGAAAAAATTGTTTTAGGTAAAAATATAAATATTCATTTATACATTTGTACGTGTGTGTGTCAATTAGATAAATATGTGTATACATATACATGTAGATATACATGCACAGGGAGGAAGAGAGCATAGATATAAAAAATTGGCAAAATGTGTATATAGATGTATCTGGATAAACGGTATACAGGTGTTTTTTGTAGTATTCTTATTCTTCAAATTTATATACGTTTTAATTATTTCCAAATAAGTTTAAAAATTAAATGCAATCACTTATGTTACTAATGGGTTCATTATTGTTTTTAAATGAATTAATCTATATGTAAAGTTTTTCTCAGTTTTATCTCTAATAGAGTAAACATTAATAGATCTAATCCACATGAACAAAAGCTCTTTGGGGTCCTCGATAATTTTTAAGTGTTGAGGGGTTCTGAGACCACAGAGTTCAAGGACCGTTGACATAGACTCTGTGTGGGTGGTTAGGTAGGTGTCCCCCCATCCTCTTAAGGCCATTTTATGACACTAGTTAATGAGACCCAATTTGGTGGATGCCATTTACTGACTTTATAATCTAGGGCAAGTCACGGAGCCTCTCTAGGCCTTAGTTTTCACACATTGCCTATCTCAGAGGGCTCGGGTGAGGTTTAAATCAGGTGCTCCGTGTAAAGGCGCTCTCAGCTAAGGACCACTCTGCAGCACTGTTTGGCAACATGTGTTTCTGTGGTGTTCTTGCCTCTGTCTGCCATTTATTTTGTGCTTTGGCTAGTGATTTTGGTTATAATTATGTGCATATGAACCACCACAAATAAACCAAAGAAGAGTATCAGAAGGTTCTTAAAATGCAAGTTTGCAGTGGTCTATGCCCCTTCAAAGGAGTAGTTAGGGAAACAGAGAAGGGTGAAGATGGGCAGGCAGCTTGGGGTTTTTGGAAGTCCTTAATATAAGGAAGAGCGTCATACACCTAGGAAGCTGGACCAACAACTGTATGAAGAGTGGTTGATAGAAAACCTTACTGGACAGGGAACACTGCTCCACTGGGGATAAACTGAAATTAACTCCGTTTAGCGCTGGTTCTGTTGGCATTCCACTTTCCAGATATGCATCCTCTGCTCAAATGTGTGTGTCTACTTTGGGTTAAGTTGTTGTAACAATGTACACTTAGAGGAAAGATCAGAAAGAATACTATTGTTTTGTGCCATTTTCGCTGTTTTCTTAGCCCATGTCTAAATCCAGCTCTGTTCTGTACCCCACTCTATCAATCATCACACCAATGAAAATAAAGAAAATTAGATTGTTAAACTGTACTGTGTTCACCTAATTCCAATTCAAATAATCACCTTTTTAAAAAAAAGGATAAGTAAATGTAAAGGCTTTATGTCATTTTGGAATGCTGTCTTTTAATCTTTTTTGCTAATTGTTGTTATTTCTTTTTTTTTTTAAACAGATCATCAGAAACTGGAAAGGGAAGCTAGAATCTGCCGTCTTTTGAAGCACCCCAATATTGGTAATGAAAAGTTTTCAGTACATTTTAAATATTACAGTTTTATGTTATGTATTTTTACTCCAGTTAAAAAATGTTACTTTAATAATCTAGAATATTTGCAGCTATTAACAAATAGTTTACTAACTTTTGGTCTTGGTTACATTTCATTCTTTAAAGTTTTTCAAAAAGTAACAGTTCTCTATATACTAACACTTTAAAAATAATATAAGGTATTATTAGTTGACTAGCGCTTTTATGTGTCTTTAAGGATTGTTCAGCTGCTGCTGCTGAAGTATGGAGAGACAGAACCGATGCATTATTTTAGGCAGCTAAATTGCTTTTCACTTATCTTGTAAAAAGTTTACCTTACAATCATTGATTCTATTCCAGAAACTAGTAAAATTATTTTAGAATATTATCTCTCATGAGTTATAAAATAGCCTGATAATGTTCAAAATAAAAAAAAATTAAAGTATAAGAAAAATAGAAGAAAGAAACAAAGAAAAAGAAAGAATGAACAATATATGTGTATGCATAAGCTAGGTTCTGTGACAGTAGTTTTGATTATTTTGGAAAAAATGTTACTGTCCCAGCTCTTAGTTTTATTGTCAACCAAAGCATTTCTGATGTAGAAGTAGTGAGAGAGGGAGTGATGATGCAGTAGAATTAGCAAAATCGTTTTCTGAGGTTTGTAGTTCTTTTATTTTTATGTATGGGACCATTCAGTTTCTATTCCTGCCTTGAAGTTTTTAGTATCTTGCATTTTGTGGGTGCTTCTCAGGTTCTTAAGTGAATGAATAGATGCTACCAAGTAAAGCTGAAGCGTTTCCAAACTAGCAGCTGACTAAAAGGAAGCTTTGGGTTTGGAGACAGAGCACGACAGCTCTGAAGTGTAAATCTACCTCTCCACAAGTGGTTTCCTCTGGTGAAAGCCTATGGCGTTTCTTGGTTGACTGCATTAGTTTGCAGGACTGCCAGAGTACCACAGACTGGGTGGCTGAAACAGAGAAATTTATTGTCTTACAATTCTGGAAATAAGAAGTCTGAGATCAAGGTGTCGGCAGGGTTGGTTTCTTCTGAGGCCTCTCTCCTTGGCTTTTAGATGGCTCTCTTCTCCCCCTGTCTCCACATGGTCCTCCCTCTGTCTGAGGTCGCTGGTGTAATTTGTTCTTGTTGTAAGGACACCAGTCATATTGGATTAGGGTCTATCCTGATGACTTCATTTTAACTTAATTATCTTTTTAAAGACTCTGTCTCCAAATACAGTCCCATTCCGAGGTACTGAGAGTTAGGACTTCAGCATGAATTCTGGAGGGACACAATTCAGCCCATAATACTGGCTAAAGAGAAGTTACACAATGTGACCCACTATAGTTCAAAGAGTACCTTTTGTTCAGGTTTAAGATAAAATGAAATCTTTGTTTATTGAACTTGTTATTCTTATGAAGGAGAGTTGTTTGTTTTGTTTTTAATCAGGGTCCTTCTGTGAAACTCAGTTTTTGTAGATCATGAAACAAGTTGCCTTCGTTTCCTCTAGGAGACCAAAGTCAAACATTCTGGGGACACCCAAACTAAAATAAGAACAATTTTCATTTTGACAGCTTATGCAGAATAACTTTACCAGAAAAGGAGAAGTTGTACGCTAGGGAAAGTTCTATAGTTTGTGACATAGACAGCACTATCGGCACACTCCAAGACAACATGTCATTTTCTCAGGGGTCCATGGCAGCCAGCGTCCTAACTCCTTGGTTGTCTCACTTGAGGTTGTCTTCTCTGAAGATTTCAGGAGTATGAACGCAACTGTGGAAATTCCAAGTCCTTGAACTCTCTGACCCAGTCCTAGCCACAGGAGAGATTTCTGGTGATCCTGTACTTCAGGGTATAAATCACAGAGATTAAACTTCTAAGACACAGTCTCAAAAATCGTAACAGTGGCAAATTAACTCGTATCATTCATTCACTCAATAGATTAATATTCTGGGAAGACAGTAGGAACACAACAGACCAATATTCCCACCCCCATGGAGCTTGCATTGTTGGGGTAGACAGACAACGAACAAAGTATAGGATGTTAGAGTGTGATAATTACTGAGGAGAAAAAGAAAGCAGGGAAAGGAAATTGGGAATGTTGGGCATTACAGTTTTAAAAAATTGGTCTGGATGACTTCATTGAGAATGGAATTTGAGAGCTGGCCCGGTGGTGTAGTTTGCATGCTCCACTTTGGTGGCCCAGGGTTTGCACATTCGAATCCTGGGTGCAGACCAACACACTGCTTATCAAGCCATGCTGTGGCAGGCCTCCCACATAAAATAGAGGAAGATGGGGCACGGATGGTAGCCCAGGGCCACTCTTCCTCAGCAAAAAGAGGAGGATTGGCAACAGATGTTAGCTCAGGGCTAATCTTCCTCACATACACACACAAAAAGAATGGAATTTGAGTAAAGATCTAAGAGACAGGAGGAAGGAACTCGTTTGGCTCTCTAGGGAAAAAAGCTTTACAGGCAGAGGGAACAAACAGCCTGTGTAAAGGCCCTGAGACCGGAGCTTGTCCAGTGGATTCCACCAAAGCTTTTTTTCTAATTGGAGAAATGAGGCTGAGTTTTCATTTTCTCTTATCTTAATTAGTGGATCTCCGTGTCATGGAATCTGACAATGTTGTATTTACTCATGTAAAGAAAAATGATTAAACAACAACAGTGATTGTCATAAAATAGTAAGCGCAGAGAACAAAGGAGTGTTTTAAAGACAGATGCCGTAGTGGACACCTGAGAGTCCTGGAAAGTCGGGATGAACAGTATGTATTGAGCAGAGTGCTGCTGTTCTGTTGAGATTACTGCACTGAGTTAACAGTTTCACATAGATCACTGTACTTACGACTGGTTCAGATTACCCAGGGAGAACTGCATTTGGTCTTGATTTCCCTGAAATAGATAATTTGATATCTAAGGAATGTGAAGCTCTTATCCTCTTCTTTTTTCTGTTCTGTTATTTGCTTGATTTTCTTAACATCTGTCAGGTTTTAGAACTTCAAGGAAGGAAATATTATTTTTGACAACTTTTCCCCTACAAAAATTTGCTTGTTACACTTTTATTTTTTATGTGACTTTCTCTTGGCACAGAATCTATAATCTGAGAACTTGCAGCAAGTGAAAGGTTTCTCCCAAAGAAACACATTTTAGAGCAAATGAAAGTGGTGATTCACTAAGCCACTTTATTTTCTTCAATGTTATTTTTTTTTTTTTTTACATTTTTCTGATTTTCAAAATAATACACAACTTAGTGGAAAATTTGGAAAACACAATCATGTATGAAGAAGAAACCAGAGGTAAGGACTTGTAATATTTGTTGTATTCATTTCTGCCTTTTTCTAATAAATCTTGTGAGTATGCTAACTTTCAGCATTCTCTTGTGTGCATTTTCATACCCGTTTAGGAAAACCATAAAAATATAATTTTTAATTGTCTCACTCAACAGAATTTATTGAGTGTGTGGCCATTGCCAGCCGTGTTCTAGGTTCAAAAAACTGGTAATGAGGCAGTGATCAAGAGAGGCAATGCCCTGCTTTCCCAAAGCCTTGCACTCTAGTGTAAGGAGATAAGCTGTAAACAAATAACCCATCATAATAATGTCACAGGAATTGGGAGTTAAAGAGAATTAAAATAGAGTAATTTAATACCAGGCGATTCGGTGGCTACTGTCAAAGAGAAACAGAATCACACACTAGTTAAAGGAGATAGACAGATTCTATTCAGTATCACTGCAATAGGGGAGAGAGCTGAGCTCAATTCTGAATACAGCAAAGATAGCTGGGAATTTATAGCCAAAGAGCAGAATGAGGGGTCAGTGGATAGAAAATTACTAAGTGGAGATATCAAGGGTAGGAGGATTCTTGCTAAACTGGCCTAACAAGATTCTTGTTAAAGGCAGGCCAAGGGTCCGGCTGGTGGCGTAGTGGTTAAGTTTGCACGCTCCTTTAGTGGCCTGGGGTTCACAGGTTCGGATCCCGGGCGTGGATGTACACACTGCTTATCAAGCCATGCTGTGGCAGGCATCCCACATATAAAGTAGAGGAAGATGGGCACGGATGTTAGCCCAGGGCCAGTCTTTCTCAGCAAAAAAAGAGGAAGATTGGCAACAGATGTTAGCTCAGGGCTGATCATCCTCACACACATACACACAAAAGGCAGGCCGAGGACTTAGACATCGAGAATAGGTAGTGAGCAACTTGATCAACGTCAAGCGTAAGCATGTATCAAGGGCTGACTTAGCAGGATTCTTTGCTAAGACTAGCTTAGGCAGGTTGAGGACGGGGCCCCGAAGGGCAAGGCCTAGTGGAAAAGAGGGCTCAGAGGAGCCTGTCTAAAGTTTGGTCAAGAAGAGGGTCTTTGTCAGAACTTTAGAGTGGTTTGTCAGGCAAGATACGTCTGCAGAGGTCACATTTAAACTGATGTCCAAATAGCAGGAAGAAACCATCATGAAAAAGCTCAGGGAGAAAGGGTTGCAGGCAGAAGGAGCTTCCCTTGTTAGGGGAAGGGTTGGGGGACTAGCGTGTGACCTGCCATGGGTGAAAGAGTCAGATGACCTGAGATGAGTCAGAAGGGTGGGCAGGTGGGCTTGACATGTGGGCCTTTGTAAACTAGCTTAGAATGTTTGGGTTTTATTCTGAGAGCAAAGGGAAGTCAATGGAAGGATCTTGAGCAAGAGGAGTGTGTCATAATCTGGTTTGCTCTGTCTGCTGTGTGTAGCATGAATTGCAGTCACATGAGCAGAATCAGGGATAATAGTGCACTGCCAGTTCATCAGCACCTAGTGTTTATCACCCTAGTGCCCCTTGCCTCCATCTTCTTGGGTAAGAATTTAAAGAGCTCCAGGCTGGCTCTCTCTTCTGTGTCGTCCACATGGTCTATGGAAAGCACCATGCATCTTTTGGCTCAACAAATTTGGGAGTGCAGCCAGTGTCCTGAGCAGCTCCATCTTTGCTTTGCCTTCACAGCAGCTAGCCAGACAATTTTGCTTGAAC